TCTACACTAGCTGCAGGCTGCATGAGGGACTAAGTGGGTCCCAGCCCCCCAAAATTTAAGACAATAATGAAAAATTCTGTACAAAGTTACCCAGTCTGCATGGAAGAGTGAGTGACAGGGGAGTGGAGCCTAGCTGTCAAGGATAAACGTGCTGGGAGACCTGGTCGGGGAGGTCTCCGGGTTGCTCCACTCACGCCATGGTGGCACATGGGGACAAAGTAGGGCATTGTATGTACACATTGACAGGGCTCAGGAAGGTCAGAGTAAATGAGAAGATGTAGAAAAGGGCGTAGTAGGTCACGTGGGAGAGCCTGTACAGTGGTGACAGGGAAGAAGGCACAAGGACAAAGACCCCAAACCATGCAGACAAAGACATGGCCTATGCAGCAGAGCAAAGCAGACAGATCCCAGGAAGTGGCAGGTCACCCCAGGACAACTGCACTGAGATCCCGCAGGAGTGGCCCTGGGATGCCATTCTTAGCCACCACCACCGCCTGTGTTGGTGGCGTCCAGGCAGACGTTCCTATGTTACAGCTACAATGGAAAGAGACAGGTATGTACAAGGTTGACCCTGGAGCACCAGCGCCATGTGAGAACCTGTTGCGTGGCAAGGATGGTGTCACCATGCTCCATCAGGGTCTACGCTCTTAGAAACAAACCTTTTTGGAAAGCAGCCTATTGCTGGGCAGGCAACAAAGAGTATGGCAGGAGGGCCTCGTGCTGTCCTGGCGGGAGGGGACAGGACCCATGGTTCAGGCCACTCCGGCCTCCTGCTCTTTTCACGCTGCATTCATCTAGAACAAGACATTAGGGCCCAGGAGGTCCCTACAGTCCTAAGAGGAGGGGCTTATTCAAAGTCACCAGGGAGGCCATGGTCCCTCAGACTCATGACCGTTCCGACAGCAGGGCAGGCCTGAGTCTCACTGGCTTGAAGCATTGTCCTACAGGGGGCAGAGTGTCAGGTCCCAAAGGGAGGGTCAGGAGGGGAGCCCATGGAGGAGGGCAGCCATGAAGTGGTCTAAATGGCCTAAATGGTCCTCAGTGGGTTCCTCAGTCTAGAAGCTACTTCAGCCTTCCATGGACCCGCTAGGTGATTGACACGACAACCACACCAAACCTTCCCGTTACAGTCACATCTAGAGTTCATTTTTAGGTTGAACCCTGCTAATGCATGAACACACACTCACAGAATACAAAAAGAGGGCCTCATTTCCCCTGCTCACCCAGGCCGTCAGCCTGTGGGTTATTAAATCCTTTACTGCAACAGAAGCACCCACACTGTGCCCCCCCCCAAGGACCCCCTAACTCTGTTCTGCCCCCATTTTTGAATGGGGTCTGTGGCCAATATATCCCAATACTTGTCACCCAGACCCCAGACAGAGATCCTGCCTACCCACTCAAGATTGCTCACCTCCAGGCTGGTGAGAAGAGCTGGACCCACCAGCTCCTGAAGGCATCCAGCCTCCCATGCTGGGCACACAGGGACTTCTCGCCATGTGACGGTGTAACAGAAGAAGCCACCGACAGCCCAGCAGAACATGCTGTTCTCAGCGCCAGGCCCACTGAGCCCAATAGCCATTTATTTTCTCTACCTCTGGCCAGCAAACTTCTAGCACAGGGTGGTCTTAATGTCAGAATGAATCACCTGGGAGCTCTTTACAAATCCTGTGCCCGAGCCACACCTCACACAGTAAAATCAGAAGCTCTGGGGGCCCAGCCCAAGCATCTGAATCTAACGGGGTTCTGACGCACAGCCAAAGATAAGCACCTCTGCTTCAGGACTTTGGGCTTTGGGGGCGGGTAGGGTCCTGAGCTTCATTTTTGTTACTGGTTCAGAAATTAAGATCAAGAAAAAGGAGTGTCCTTCTGAATTCTCAAAGAAAGCTGCAAATGTTCAATACAAATTTACAATGCTAAAATAAATTAACTGAGGTCTAACTCTGACCAATCCAGTTAAGCAATAGTCTTATTCCACCAGAACTTTATTTCCTATCTCCTCCTACATAATAGGGACACCTTCAGAAGGTGCTTCCTTTCATCTTAGACACAGAAAACCCATTGGCCGGTTCAGCCAACGTGGTTTGACTTTCCTCTGAATGCAAGCACAGCCCAGCGTCACGAGCATGAGCAGCAGTCCCTAGGGGAAACGACTGAAGTCGGACAAGCCACTGCCCTTCCATGCCTACCTGGGAGGGCTGTCAGGTCCAACAAGCAGCCCCATACAGGACGCCCAGCTAAATCCAATTGCCTGGGGAGCTCTTAAAATTCCCTACACCGATTACATCTGAAACTGGGGATTCAGTCCAATCTTCAGAACTTTTAAAGATCTCTCTGTTTTAAAGGTCTCAAATATTGCATGGGACATACATCGAATAAAATCTGTTATCTGAAATTCAACCTTAACTGGGTACACTGCTTACCACCTGACAGTCCTACAACTGAAACGGGAAGTTTCAACTAAAAAAAGAACAAGGAGTCAGAAAACGGGAAGAACCACCCCCACTCCAAGCTCTGGAACCTATAGGGGGGTGCTGGACCCCTGCAACATCTGTCCCCTCCCCCTCAGGTTAGTTGTCAAGATCCAAAGATACTTAACATACAGGATCTTAAAAAGCCAATTTGACAGACTGAGTTTTCTAAGAAATGTTTCCTGGCTGAACAAAGTTAAGAAGGTTGGATTTAAGTTCAGGTTTGTGTTACAAAGAATCCAATCTCTCATTTTGAAGTCTCTCAACCACAGACAGCCCTCTTCCAGCTGATCCCTCTGCATGGCACCAGTCCGTGCCCGCGGTGCCCCCTGGAGGGAGAACTCCATGGAATGCTGACAGCTTTCCCAGCCCCTTTTCCTTTGGCTGTGCTAGAGCCTAGTGAACACCAGGCAGAAATTCCTCTCTTTATTGTGGCTCAGTGTAGTTTAGGCCCTGCTGCCTTCCCTGGAATTCCATACCCAAGCAGCTAAAAAAAAAAAAAAAAACAAAAAACCAAACCAGTTGCCCTTGAGCTGATTCCAATTCATACTGACCCCAGGTGCTTCAGAGTAGAGCTGTGCTCTGTAGAGTTTTCAAGGCCATGACCTTTTGGAAGCCAATAGCCAGGCCTTTCTTCCAAGGTGCTCTGAGTAGCTTCAAACTGCTAACCTTTTGGTTAGCTGTCAATCGTTAGTGCCACCCAGCAACTCCTAAGGCCGCTAAGGAGCATGCACAATTTTACCTATAAAATGCTTCCCTAAAACTTCCCTTTCCCTGGGGTGAGCCCCTTCACACCACCAGGCCCATTCCTTGACCTTGGGGGCCTCTCTGCAGAACACTTACTGATGTAAAACCCAGGCTAAGGCCATGTCCTGATTCATCTGCCTTCCTTTAATTCACGGTCATTCCTGCCTATGGCAAATTCTCTGGAGATCCATTCCTCATTCTTCCTTTCCAATGCCTGCTTCCATTTAGGTCCTTGGGAGCCCGGAGGACCTAAGGTGTTAAGAGACTCCCAAAAGACCCCCCCTGGCCTAGTCCTCCTGTTGGGTGGCCCCAGACCAGACAATTCAACCCCATTACTTGCACCATGAAACAAATCCCATACAGGTGCTTAAAAAGAAATGACCAAAATCCAACAGAAGCATAAATTGATTGGGATGGAACGAAGGTCAGTCCTGGCCACAGCCCTGCCTTTGTGAGCAGGAAACATACCCAAATCCTCAATTCCCTCTTCCTCCTCTAGCACCTTCTCTCTTCTCTTTGTACGTATCCCCCTCCATGCCCATCCCCGACATGCCTCAACTTTCCTTTCAATACTAGAAGCGCTGAAGAAAAAAACTGCAGGGAGGGGGAAGTAAGAGCACACATGTTTTGATATATTTGGATGAAGGAAACGAACCACAAACCATAAAAACATCAGAGACACCAGAAAACTCAAATACCACATCTATCCTTAGGTTTCTAGACAAAAGAGCACATTAAAACCCCCTAGTGTCAGAGGATGGAAGGTTTCCCCAACTGGGTCTCCCCACCAGCAGAACAGGCATCCCTCCCCTTTACTGAGAACTGAATACAGGTGTGACTCTCAAAGTTGGAATGAGTGCTCTTGCCACTCAGCTGAGCCTGCTCCCAGGGCCTGCCATCATCAGGATGCCTAGAGAACAGGGCCAGCTCACAGATCACCACATGGTCAGGCGAGATGGTCCCTACGTGCACCTCACTTCTAAAATGCTGCTGTGGGGAGGAAACCAACAGGGATGTGGACCCTTCTCCCCCAAAGTCACTTCTTTGGTTGCCCAATGCCAGCCTCAGATGCCCCTATCCACTAACTGCCTTTTCATTTTATATCAAAGTGAATGCTGCTTATTTTTCATTGTCTTCAAAAGAAAAAACAGAAAGGGGAGGTAGGTAAGCAGGAATGAGGAAGTGCTTAAAGAACTTAAAAAATGCCAGGAACTCTGCAGAATGGAGCTGTTTTCTGCATTGTTCACTCCTCTGCAAATCCACACCCTTCGGGCACACTGTGCACGAGTCAGACAGACAGTGCCATCTAGGGGCAGGGCCAGAACACGGACCCCACATGGAGAGCACCCTTTTCGCCTCTGAGCTTGAACCCCCGTTCTTCAGAGGTGGCCTGATCCAGGCCAAAGATGTTGGTGAGGACATAGCTGTTGAGGATTCAAACTCCTGGAAGAGATGATAATTTTGCTCCTACTCCTAGGGGGAATAGGGTAGGGTGAAAGGGCCTCTTACTGGACTTCCCCCTCCCCCCCAAATCCTTATCCCCAGAGGTAGACTCATTTTATTCAGTATCTAAAACACAAGCATCCAGTCCTTGTTATTACAGTACCTCATGACAGTAGACCTTGCTTCCTTCCACCTCCAGCCCCCTCTGCCCCGCGCAAAGGTATTACAAAGTGCACGAACCGAGCAGGTATTATCCCTGTGCCATGAGCACAGCCCTCAGCCACACCCCCATGCTCGAGCACAGGCTGCCCCACACAGACACCAGTACACGTCACGCACAGCGGCCAAAGGTACATTTACAGCGTGAGTGTAAGGCCCAGGCCTGGGCCTGCATCCTCAGGCAGGGTCTTGCCCCTTGGTCCCTGGGTCCTGAAGCTGCTCCGCAGCCAGCCCTCTTGTCTCAGTGTTTGATCTCAAGGATAGAGGGGTTGTGGTCCAGGATGGCGAGGATAATCTTGTCCATGTACTGTCTCAGGCGGAAGTTGATCTCCTCCTGCTCCTTCAGGGCTTCCATTAGCTGCAGGGAATGGGATAGAAATGGTCAGAGGTGGGGCTGGGGAGTGGTTCAGCCCAGGTTTGCAGGAGAGCCAGTGCCAACGACAGGCTCAGGAGGCCTGGGGCAAGGCGGTCCCAAGAGCACCCTCAGCACTCAGATGCCAGGGTAACTCTATGGCAGCGGCTCAGCACCCACCCAGGAGTGCGCAGGTCTACAGAGCCCAGGTGTGGATCATCTTTTTATAAAGGTTGAGGACACTGACCTAAGGCATTTATAATCAAGACTGGCATTTAAAGTTCTAGGGTCCCTGTGAGATGTCTGCTTTGCCCATAATGGCTTTTCTCCCCACCCTCAGTGCTGTTACGGCTCTTCTCCAGGCCAGCTCTGACCTTGGGCTTCATTCCAGCTTTGCCCCGTCCCTTGGCATAGTTGTGGATGGGGCCTCTGTGGCGTCAACCCTGGTCTCATTTTCCTGCTCTGGGCATGTGGGGTGGTCACCATGGTAGGTGGGGAGTTGGGGCAGGATGTGCACGAGGAGGGGCTCTGGTCCCAGAACAAGAGCTGGAGGACACGGTTACCTCATCGCGCGAAGCTGTGTCTATTTCCGCAGCCAGAGACTGGGCTTTGGTCTGAGTGGCAAAGAGGTTCTTTGCTTCGTAGAGGCTAAGGCTCAAGATCTGTCCATTCAGGTCGTCGTTCTGATCCCGCAGCTTATGGTTCTCCTGTGGTAAGGAGGACAAAGGCACCATCAACTCCCAGAAGCACCCTGGAGCCCATTTTTCTGCAGCCACTGTCTCTGACTCCCACCAGCCCCATCCCCTCAGGACATCACGGCCAGCTCAGGACGCCCATAGGGGATGTGGACTTTGCTGACTTGAAGGGAGCAGAAGGGCTGGGGCCTTGTCTAGAGGCCTGGTGTCCTGGGAGCTCATGCGGTTTTGAGGAGCCGTGTTTCTGGATACAGCATGGCTCCTGGCTATTCACTCCTCCCTGGGGGATGAATGAGCCGGGGTGGGAGCCTTGGAGGCCCTCGGTAGGGGTCTACCTGCCCGCTGGCTCATCTCCAGCCCTGGTCCTGGGTGAGGAAAAGGAATACTCTGGGCTCTCTGGGCAGGGCAGCTCATCTCCCTGGCTCCTTCTCCCAGGAGTCCGGTGCTGTAGGAGTCTCTTCTAGGGGTGCCCTTGCTCTGCCTGGCTCAGATCCTGTTTACCAGCCCCATGCTCCTGTGTCTGCTTAAAGGCTCCTCTCCGCTCAAACTGGTGCCCTTCAGAGCCCCCTCCTGGATGGATGAGAAGGGCGGGGGGTTTCAGGACTGCTTGGGAGCCCAACCACCCACACCTTTGCCTTGAGGTGGATGTGCAATTCACACTGCAGAGTCGCCCGTCCCCAGGGTCAGGCTGAGCGTGGGATTCCCACCTAACATTCCCTCGCTTGGTCATCGCCCCTTCCCTATTCCACTTCCTCTACCCCACACTGATCTCCAGTGAAGGAGGGACATCCCACTCGACAGGGAAGCTTGGACTCAGGGTCTCCTCTGGGAGAAACCAACACAGCCAGGCCCTAATCTGTGCCAGGCACAGCTGCATTCTTGGCCCTAAGCACCAAGCACAGAAGAGCGGTGTCTATTTCTTTTTTACGGACACAAAGAAAAGATCCTGGGGTTTCCATCAGGCACACCCTAGAGGCGAGTCCTCCACCTGTAAAATGAAACTGCTAGCCAGGGTAGTCCGAGGAACAGATGAAAATGTGGGTGACAGTGTGCGCCACACTCTTGGCCCTCTCACCATGGTCGCTGCCCAGGAGCCTATAGGCTGGGATGCAGCCAGCCAGGGTGGGCCTCACCATTGGGCCCCCTTCCCACCGGACAGAGGCTCCAGGGCCCACCTGCTTGAGCCGCTTGACCTCGTGCTCTAGCTCCACCTCGCGGGCCCTGGCATTGAACTCGCCCAGGCTAGATGATGCACTGCGGCCCCTGCCCGGCCGCTCGCAGTCTAGCTTGTACATCTGCAGATGCTCCAGCTCCTTCCGCAAGTCTTCAATGAGCTGCACGGGAGAGAGGCCAGATGTCAGGAGCAGGGGTGCTGGGAAAAGCCCTGGGGCCCCAGCTAGGAACCCACCTCCTGTGTCGCCTCCCGCTCCTTCTGGAACTCCAGGCGGTTCTGCCGCAGCTTGTCCATCATGCGCTTGTACAGGTCCATCTCATCCTTGAGCCGCAGACTGGTGTCCTCCAGCCTGTCAGACATGCGCTGCCGTTCCTGGGACCAGGGAGACCCAGTCAGAGGGGAAGAGGCCCTGGGGTCAAGAGCCGGTCCCAGAGAAGGACTTCCCTGGGGATCTGGACCCCAACATGGCAAAAGGACAATCAGCCCAGCTTCCCTGGACAGAGTCTGCCAACTCACAGCTTAAAATGGCCAGATCCCCTATGATGTAGAAACACAGCCAGAAACTCCCAGGCCACTAATGTCCTTCACTGATGTCGGGTGGAACTTGAAATAACAGAACGTGGCAGCCCACACAGAAGCTAACCTCTTTCTTTCTTTCTTAAGACCAGTACTTTTCCCCATTATGTAAAAAAAAATATATTACTCTAGAAAACTCGGGAAGTCAGAAATACAGAGAAACAGCTCTTTATTTACACCGTGTTGCATTTCTTTGCTGCCACCTTTGACACTAGATGCCAACGGCCCCTGACGCCTGACATTGCCTTCTATGGGTTAGGTTCACCAGCCGAGTCTGAGACACCCGGACGGGCTGCTCACCTCATCCAGCTTCTCTGTCTGTGACTTGAGCCGAGTCACTGTCGTTCTAAGCTCTGTATTTTCCTCCTCCAATTGCTGTACCCTGGGGAAAAAAGAAGGATAAAACTCTCAGAATGGAGATTAGCTCATAGTGAGTTGACAGAATGCACTGCCTAGGGCAGGGAAGATACCAGAAACAGAGAAAGAGGCGCACACAGAGAAGAAAATATAAACTATCCCAACTGATAACATAGCCCTGAGGTTCCTGACAGCCAGGGCAAAACAGTAAACACAGTAATGGTCATTATTATTTGTTCTGATAAAAGAAAACATTAATTTATGAGTCAAAACATAACCTTTTGGGATATATTCTTATAAGGGGGTCAACACCACACAGGGGGAGTGGTCTTCTGCAGGAGGGAGCACTTTCCAGTGGCTGTTTGTGATAAGTGCATCCTGTTACAATGAGCAGCATGAAGGCAGAGACCACATCCGCTTTTCCTTCTCCACCTGCCGCATCCTGCCAGGCCCCTCCCTGTCAGCTGCCTCTGCGCCGACAGGCACTGGCTCCCACAGTAATGATCCTCTATGTCAGTGCTCACGAAGGACTGCCCTAAAGAGCCTTCCCAAGCAGACAGACCCAGGCACCCAGGTCAGTTCACATGGCCTGAGAGAAGACGTGCAGGCCCAGGGTGTCAGTGGCATCATTTCTAGCCACTGATTCCCGCGGGGCATCCTTCCTCCCTTTCACTTCCTCCTTCCTGGAAAGATGGTCCCTGGTCTCCACTGCCCTCTGGACTGCCTGGGAGAGGACCCCAGGCCAGGTCAGAGAAGGATTTAGACCCACTGCCCTCACTCTGCCAAGGCTGCCTCACAGGTGACTTGAGCTGGGGGCAGCATGAGGAGCAGAGCACATGGTGTGATTCTGGGAGCACCATTTACATGACATTCCGCATGAGTGGCACCCCTGGAGCTGTGCAAGAGAGGCACAGGCCAGGAGTCTGCTGGCTTCTGTGTTTGGCCTTCTGGCCCATGCTCACACTGCCTTCTTCCACCACCCAGTATCAGCCACCTCTCTCAGGCCAGGTGAATTGCACAGATGTCAGACGCAGGTAGAGAGCAGTCATGCTTAATGAGGTACCAGGCTCCAGAAACAGATGCAAGGCAGTAGCTTCTAGAACGTGAATGAAAATTTAAAATGAAGCCCTGGTCAGCAAAGTTCACAAGGCTGGTCTCAGACAAGCCAGCTGCCCTGTGTATCTGACATGCCCTGCCTGCCCTCAAGAAGCAGGGAGACATTATCACTTGCCTGAGAACCACAAGGTGCAAGGTGGGAGTCCAACTCCCAGCTATCTGCCCAGCAGCATGCCCCACCTCCCAGTCCCCTCCTCTCCCAGCTAGGCCTGGCAGACTCCAGGAAGGCTCAGCTCAGAGAACAGAGCCTGATGGGGCCTGATGAGAGCCCAGGCAGCTGTTTTCTCTGCCAGGGCCCCAGGTGGCCTCCTCGGCCTCAGTCGGCAGTAAACACAGCACTGGGGCATCATCATAGCCCTCTCCTGTGTGCAGGGCTCTGATGTGCACAGCCACCCTGTGGAGGAGACAGGGAGGGGAGGACATATGGGGAAAATGAGGCCCAGGGAAGTGACAGGGTCGTGGAACTACTGGGGGAGCAACCCAGATTCCCAGGGCAGTGCTCCTTGCCCTGCCTGCCTCAAGGTTCCAATAATGAGGCCACAGCTATATCTGAGACACAGCAGCCCAAAGAAACATGGGGCTATGGTTTTCCATTTAGTCTGGCCCCTGGGGCCCAGGCCATCTGCAAGGAGAACCTGACAGCAGGGGGAGTTCCAAGCCTGGACACTGAGCCTAGTACCGGCCTCAAGGCAGGACTGTCTTAGCCCCCAGGGTCACATCTATAACATGGGTGCCTGTCCCATAGCGCTGTGCCTGGAGTGCGAGAGCACATCAGAGGGCAGAGGCTATGCAGGAAGGCCCTGGAGCCCAGCACACTGGTCCACTCCCAGCAAGGAGGGCAAGAGTCACCTTGTGTTGAGCAGCTCGACCTCGGTGCTCTTCTCTCTCTCCAGCTTGCTGTAGGCCTCGCGGTGGCGCCGCGCCGCCTCCTCCAGGGCCTGCTCAGCCATGGCCTCCTGGTCCTTCACCACCTCCTCCAGCTCATGCACCCTGAGGAGAGTAGCACCGACTCAGGTCCAGGGTGAGTCTGGGTGCCTGAGTCTTCTTAACCCAAGCTGTGGCCATGGGACCCCAGACCCTGAGTCTTCCAAACCCCCCTCCCCCGCCCCACTGCAGGGGTGACGGTGTGTATGTGAGGCCCTGGGCCAACAACTCTGACAGAGGAATTTGGAACATGGAGAGGCAGAGATGGCAGTCCCCTCCAGAGGGGGGACAGCTGCAGCTGAGAAGGTGGGGCTCTCAGTGGCAGAGCAGGGACAGGCAGCTGGCCTCACCATGGCCTGAATGAAACAGCCTTGACATCTTATGTCTTCTTTTCTCCTATTCCTTGCTGGCCAATAGCCTCTGATTAATTATTCAGCTTACTGGACACCTTGACTCCAAAGCCAGGCAAGTCCTGGGCCCTCACCCTACTTGGTACATTGTCTGAGGACACTGGCAATAGTCCTCCTGTGAGGTTAACTTTAGGTGTACAAAAGAATCCATCTTTGGGTCTAACAAGGTTGAGGACCAGACCCTGAACTGGGATAAGTTTACTAAGTTTCATGCCAGCTTGTTGAGGGCAGTTCAGACTCTCCCTCTACGGCCTCACTGGCAGTCAGGGTCAGGGAACACAATGTTTATGCTCCTCCCTTAGTCGATTGGAGGGAGCAGAGAAATGCCTGGCCCTTTTCCCCCATTCACACTGTCCTCTTCCTCTGCAAAGCTTGTCCCCCAGCAAGGGAGGCCAGGCTCTCATTACATGTGACAGAGTCAGGATAGCCAATTCCAATTCCTACCTTAGACCAGCCCCAGGCCTGCAGACCTAGGGTTAAGGTCAACCTCTGACCTGTTGCCTGTCCCCTGGTCCCGACATGGGCAGGTCATGTGTCAAGGGGCAAAGGGGTCACAGACCTGTGAACTAGAAGTTCCATGTGGGTTACCACCTTTAGGGGCCCTAGCAACAGAGCCAGTCCCTATAGTCCCCAGGCACAGCCAAAAGGCAGAGCCTGCCCTGACCTGTGTACCAGCTGGGTGTTCTCCTGCTTCAGTTTGCTCTTCAGGTCCCCATTGGTCAGGCTGTCATTCTCCAGCTCTGTCACCTTCTTTTCCAGGAAGCTCACCTGCAGAAGGGGGTGGAGAGGGAGGCAGCAGAGACCTTTGAGTCCCCAGGACTGAGAACCTAGAAACTCTGGGCCTGATGGCCAGGGTCTCTGAATGAGCATGAAGAGAATGGACAGTTGCATCTGGTGGGAGCAGGGATGAGTGTGAATGTGCTCACCTCATCAGGGCCACCTACCCTCCACCCCTGAGCAAGTACCAGGGCCTCTTAAGTCCCCAGACACCAGCCCAGAGCACCCCCACTACGCCCAGGAAACCCACCAAGAAGGCCCTTCTCCACCCTCCCAGGCCCACCTTCTCCGTGATGTCGTTGTCACAAGAGTCAATGCTGTCCCGGAACAGGTCCTCAGTGCTGCCATTACTGCTGCTGAAGTTGCTGTTGTGCATGAGCTGCCTGCAGGGATGGAGGAAGGGTCGTCGGGCTGCAGAAGCTCCGCAGAGGCTGAGGGTCCTGATCAGGCTGGGGGCTTGGCAAGCATTCAGCAGCCCGGAGGCAGCCAGGAACCCCTGTAAGGAGGCCATCCTCTCCCAGCCAGGGGAGGGGAGCGCTGGCTGACCTCTGAACCTAACAGATCACCCAGCTCAGAGGAGGGCAAAAGGGCTGCTATGCCCCATCCCGAGCCCCTGACAGACATGGCCAATCAATCACAGAACTCTTTCTGCTGCTTGAGAACCCTCTGCAAACTGGTGTTCCAGCCAGTCCCTACCAGGTGGCCAGAGTTGGCATATGAGCCTCTCACCCCCGTCCTCCAGCACAAAAACCGCCCAGAAAAGGCAAGCTGGCTCCAGAGATCCGACAGGGGGCCTAGCCTCCTTCAGGCAGCCCAGCATGATTTGGCCCCCTCTATTATGCTGGCTTCTGCTACATCTCTGGGGACTCTGCGGAAGAGGGAAGAGGAGGGAGACCCACCCAGACCTCGCAGGGCAGGGTTAGTGGGTAGCACTGGAAAAGAGTAGATAGTTTGCCAAGGTGGTCTGTGTCTGAGGTATAATTTAGCTGCCCCCCCCCCAGTCGACACCCTCTTCCCTCCTTGACAGGCAGCAGCCAGGGTCTCAACCAAGAAGCCATCCCACCCCCAGCTCCTAGGCTAGGCGAAGGTCCCTTTCCAGGGAGCAGAGCACTCAGTGGCATCTCCCCACACCTTGGGTGTGGTCTGTAGGATGTCCCCTGGCAAAGTGCCCAGAGATCTGGGGCCAGTGGGGAACCCAGGGTCTCTACTGGTACAGCTGTGAGCTCCAGAGCAGAGGGGAGGAGATCAACAGCCCTGGGGAGCCTGCCTGAGGTGGAGGGTTTGGAGATACCAGCTGCTACCAGAAAGGACAAGAGACTGGGGGAGAAGGAAGCTGCCCCTTCTTTTTCATCAATGAATGTTCCTCTTCTGCCTGGACTGCTCTGGGATGGCCTTGCTCCACTCTGTTTGTCAGCCACACGCAGGACACTGGCTGGTTCTGGGCTGCCAGCATGAAGCCAGGCTACCCTGGCCGCAAGAGCATAGTGAAGGGGGCAGCTCTCAACACTCCCCGCCCTGAGGGAGCCTTACCGTCCAAAGGCCGTGCTAGAGATCTTTCGGTTGGGGCTAAACAGAGAGAAAAAGAAGAAGAGTCACTGAACAGAGGGTTCTAGGCCACTCCCTTACTCTGTCCTGGCTTGGTTCTGAGAAGAAACACCTGACTTTCCTGTTGTAGGACAATTCGAGCCAGTTTCTTCAACCCCAGGAACCAAGCCCACTCTGAGAGCACTCTTACCTGCCAAGACCAAATAGAGGCCGCCTTGCCTGCCACTTCTCCCTTTGGGCCCCACTTTAGCCCCCCGCCCCTGCACTGGGCCTTGGGCCTCACCTGTTGGCCTTTAGGTTTTTCAGCCGAGCTTCCAAATCATTCAGCAGGTTGATTTTCTTACAGCACTGAGAGCAATACACATCCAGCAATTCACTGTTGTACACGTGCCGCATCTTCCTAGGTGTCTGCCCTGCACTGATTTCATAAAAGGGGCACAAGTTGCCTTCCTCAGGGCCGGCCAATCTGTGTCCTCCACCCTGCTGAGCTTACTTTTAACCCTTACACCTTTACCTGATGCCCCCAAACCTCTGGACCATGTGTGTGTGGGGGAGGGGGAGTAGAAATACAGCCACAGATCAATCCTCCTCCTATCCTCTCAAAGAGAAGACACCAGTGAGTTATAGCCGTTTAACAGATAAAGTGACAGAGTGTCAGAGCAAGTCAATAATGACTCAGAGGGTGAGAAGGTAGCACAGTAGGTGACCTGGAAGGACCCTTCAACACTGAGGTTACAAGTAGCAAGACAACAAAGACTTCCCCAGCCCACAGCCTCCTGGGCTGGTTAATTGTTTCCTTCTCAAGATGGAAGGGGGGAGAAGGAACTCCAAGTCCCCAGTCAGAACGCCAGTGCAGCACACCCATACCCCAGGGGCAGAACCCCACAGCTGCTTAGCAGAAAGGACGGTCTGCTCAGGCTTCCTGTCTGACACCCCCAGGATGAGGACAGACTGGTTCTGCCATTTTTCCTGAACCCCAAATACCATCCTAGACCAAGGCCATTACCTGGAAGACACCGAAGACCCCAGGTCTGAATAGACGTTGGTCCTGGTCTCATCATCGGGACAGGGGCTACTGGGGGCACAGTCCACATCATCTCCCTCCCCATAGTCTTCAAACTGCTCCTCGTTGCTGATGAGCGAGGTAGTGGAGTGTGTGGAGAGGTCTGACGTTGTCATGGATGGAGTGTGGCCCAGAGACCTGACAGTCAGAAAGTGGCCCAGGTTAGAAGAGCTGCCTGTCAACAAGGCCCCACCTACAACCTGTGGCAGGGAAACCAGACCTTCCAGAAAGTTAGCCTGGGCTATAGGCCGAGAGTCTGATTAAATTTGTACCTTTGGACACTTTTAGGACCCTATCCTAAGGGGAAAATCTTACCACAGCAACTGTCTCTGTGTAAGAGACATTCAAAAGCAATGCTATTCTAGAGTTGGAAGACACTGGTTACCACCTAAAGGTTTAGCTACAGGGCTAGAGCTATTAAACTATAAACTAGTAAATTAAACTATTAAATTAGAATTATTAGGTTGCTGCCGAGTGACTCCACCTCAAGGCCAGCCCACGTGTGTCAGAGCAGAGCTGAGCTCCGCAGAGTTCTCAACGACTGGTTTTTCAGGAGGGGATTGCCAGGCCTTTCTTCTGAGGTACCTCCAGGCCGACCTGAACTTCCAACCTTTCAGTTAGCAGCCAAGGGCTTAACTATCTGTACCACCCGGCGACTCTATTACCAAGTTACAGAATATCAATAGCTGTTGAAAAGTTTGCAAGGAATATTGGCAATAATGTGAAAATATTAATGTAAGTAAAATGCTGGGATACAAAGTTTTAGATGCAGTAAGACTGAGTATGGAAAAGGTCAACAGAGAAGAAGTAGGAAATAAAAATACGAAAACAGTGACAGGGCTTGTGATTGGGTGGTGGGACTATGAGTGAAGTCAGTTATCCCTCTTTCATTCTTTCCACGTTTATATGTTTCAAGTTTTCTTTAACGGGTATGTACTCCTTTGATAATGAAATGAAGTTTAACAACAAGTAAGCCACTAGGGACAAGCTTCTCCCAGTTTAGGCAGGGGATTGTGGCCCAAAGATGCCTAATCCCAAGGTTCACAGACCCTCCCCCGGCTCTAAGGTCTCTTGTGGGTGATAATGGTTATCAGGGCTAGTCGAACCCTGTCCACAGCCTAACAACAGAGAGAAGTACAACCCATCATCTGTCAAAATAGTTTGGTCATTATGCAGTAATTTCTGCATATCATTACTCATAAATCAGGGTTTTCCCCAACCTCACCAAGCCTCCGCACTCAAAACAGGAAACTTGAAATAGTGAAAGAAGTGTGTAAATGGGTATGGCAGTGAGGAAGCCCAGTTTCTATCTAAATGACTGAATCCTCAAGGTCAAGTCTCCCCAGAACCCAAAAAAACACCCAAACCAAACCCACTGCCATCAAGTTGATTCTGACTCATGGTGACCCTATGGGACAGAGTAGAACTGCCCCACAGGGTTTTGAAAGCTGTAATTCTTTACAGAAGCAGACTGCCTCATTTTTTTTTCTCCCTGGAGTGGCTGATGGATTTGAACCACTGATCTTTTGCTTAGCAGATGAATGCTTAAACACTGCTCCAAGAGAATTCCTCTCGACACTCCAACCATATTTTATTTATTTACTTAGGTTCCTTAGCACTTCTCGCTCTTTCTCCTATATATTTTATGAAGACACTTTTGGCACCCACTACTGGCTTGATTCCTGGTGACTAGTCCCACTGGGCAAGATCAAGTGGCAAATGCTTAGCCAAAAGGACCACTGCTGTGGTCTGCTGTCCATGACCATTTATCCTTTGGTGGGTTAGTCACAGGAACAGCTGATGAACTTCCTCAATTGATAAACAACTTCAAAGGGCCCCACTGAGAATATCATGACTCCCAGGACCACTGGAGTTTGAGAACCCCTGTACTGAAAAACATGTATTAGGATGAGCCACATGAATTGGATTTTTATGTAAGTAAAAATTATTTAAAATTGTCAGTATCATATGGTTCAACTAATAGTGAGACCCCTCTGCTCCTGTTCCAAATCTCTGTGGGTCACAGGTAACCATCACCTTTTACTGATGGGTGGGTCGCCACTCCCACCCCCCCACGGCTTCTTCAACCTCTGTCATCCCATACAACATCCCTCCAGAGATTTAGTGGGGGGCTGCTATGGAATGGACTCCCTTCTGCTGACACCCACCTAAAAGAAGACTATATTATCCCATCAGACAATGTCACTAAAAATATTATTTTAAAATAATATTTCCTATTTTGAGAAGTGGGAAGAGAGTTGTCACATTGTGGGAAAGGGCAGTCGATGTCATGAAACAAAATGTGTATGAACTACTGCGTGGAAAATGAATTTGCTCTGTAAACGTTCACCCAAATCACAATAAAAATTAAAAAAAAAAATTGTTAACTTAAAAAAAATAGTATTTTGAGAGCACATGATCAATAAAAAAAATAGAGATATGCAGCAGAACAATGTAAAGCAATTAAAATTATTAATTACCCCATCATCCAGAAATAACTACTTAAAAGGTCTGGAATAATTCTTTCTAGGTAGCATTTCACAGTACATGGGTATGTATTTTTAATAAAACTAATACCATAAATTCCTGGACATCTTTGTAATCTGCCTTTTAAAAAAAAAACAAAACAGATCTTTCATCCCATAAACCATTAAATAATCAATCAATTAAAACTTAACTTTGCGTGCCTGCCTAAAATTCCAGAACAACACCTACTGTTAAGCATTTAGGTTGCTCAGAAATCTCTGCTATTCCAAACATCCATGCAAGTAATGACTGTGATGCAAATCTCAACATCGCAAGCATGTCTCACGTTTACTGCCTGGAGATGCATTCAGGCTCAGAGCCACATATTGGAGTGTGGGCCATTTTAACTCACTTGTCCTCTGGCAGAAACAGGCCTCCAAGCCCCACATCCTTCTCCTGAGCTGGAATACCGACTGACCCCTCCAAGCTCTGGGTGCTCTCCATGGGGCTGTCCATGTCTGACTCCTGCAGGCCCTCAGGTGGGGCCAGTGTCATAGCCTCCTCTTCGTCCTCAGGAAAGAAGCCAGGGTCCCTGGAGATGAGCTCGCCATTGGCAAAGGTGGGGCCTGGGACCTCACTGCCCTGGGAAACACAGAGGGGGACAGAATGAGCAAAGCCAGCTCCGTGAGGTTCAGTGTTCTCCATCCTACACAAGTGGGTTAGTAGGGGCTAGGTGAAAGGAGGCCCAGACCATTAGACCAAGCATAAAAATGCCTGACAATTCATCTTGGGAGGCTTTTCACATGGGCCAACTCATGAGAGTCCAGTAAGAGTTGAAAGCCCCAGAGATCTGTGGGGCAGCCAGGCCAGCCACATCATTGGAGCATCTGGTCAGGATATTGGTACCTCCATCACAAACGCTGTATTAGGAAGTCAAATGGGCTCCAAGAAAGTTTTCAACTGATCTGAGATTAAAGGAAACAGCCATGTTGAATGGCCTTCAAAAATAATGACCCTGACCTAGTAGGATCCTGTGCAGCATGGGATTGGGAAGTCTCTGCCTTCCTTGACTTTAGGCACATCAGGTAAGCAATCTGAACTTCACTTTTCTCCTTTGTAAATAATAATGACAATGGAATCTTACAGGAGCATTGTGTCCATTAAAAAAGACATTTCACGTAAATAACTGGCACACAGTGGGACCTTGATAAAGAAGTCATGAGCACAGATGTTGATACCAGCCTGGGAGGGTACAGTCTGCTCCAGCCACTGCTGCAGCCATCCTGGGAAGCAAGAACACCAGCTCTTTAACTTCTGAACCTGGAGTCAGACTTGTCCTTGATGGGTGTGTACAGTGCCTAGCACATGCCTGGCAGTGTTGGTGCTCAGTACACATTTGCCTGAAACTTTTGCTAAAACCATCTTATGGCAGAAGAGCTCTAGCTTCATTCTAGTTCAAAGGGCAGGGCTTTGCAAACCATCTCTAGGGCCACTTTGTCTCTGAGGATGGGGTACCTTGTAGGTGGCAATGATTCTATCTCCTTTCCCCTACAAGATGTCAACTTGTACCCAAAGATTTTTAGTGTACTCCTCAGCTGGGGCTGGTAGGGTCCCTATAAAAGATGCTTTGCTCTCACCCCTCAAGACTTGGAGAAGGATAACAGGAACAAGAGCTTGATGAGAAAGGATGAGAGACATCCCAAGAAGCTGGTAATTAGATAGGGGTGGGTGACAGGCTTGGATGCGCCCTTCCAGATTTGTGTGGCTACCTGCTGCCACTGGTGAGCAGACATCCCCTTCTCCACTGGGAGATCCCTGGGCTAAAAATAGATGGTGACTGATAGGCTTGGTTTCATCTGTGCCATGATACCAGCTTATCACAAGATAGACCAGTAAAACTGGCATCAGCCAGCCAGACCCCTCTGAGTATGGAGGCCAAGGGGCTGTGTAATTAAGATCACCTATAGTGCTTACAGGGCCCTTTCCAACAATAAGAAGCTCTGGTGGCACAGTGCCAAGGCATTTGACTGCTAACCAGAAGGCTGGGAGTTCAAATCCACCAGCCACTCATCAGAAGGAAGGCTGAGCAATCTACTTCTGTAGATGCCACCTCAGAAACCGAAGGAGGGGTCACTATGAGTCAGAATCGACTTGACAGCAGTGAGTTTGGTTTTTTGTTTTCCAACAAAATGCCACTAAGACAGTCTCACGTGGTGTCAACCCATCATGTATTGTCCCCTAATCAAGCTCTTCATCTGCAAGCCTGAAGTAACATCCCAACAGAAACAAAAGGAAATCAACATTTATGGAGCAGCCACCGAATTCTGAAGACTCAGCTGAGAGCTAAGTTACCTCATTTATGTTTCATGCCTCCAGGATTGTTCCTGTTAGCCTCATTTTACTAATGGGGAAATCGAGGTCCAGAAAGCTGAAGCAGCTTGCAGAAGCCCTCTAGCCAGTAGGTGAGGACCCCGTTTGTCTTCAGCCCCTACGTGCTTGGTTCTGTTTATCACTGATGCCTCATTTCATGGATTGTCAAAACTCAGAGGGACAATGAGGATAGTGACCTCTAGAGAGATGTATTATGAAAGCCCAGGAAAGCTGCCTTCTGTTGCAACTTCTACATCCTGCCCACTTCTCACCCCCGTCAGAAAAGTCTGGGTTAGTGTTATATGATGCCCAAAGGAAACAAGGCTAGAGAGAGATGCCTCTGTGGAGAACCAGGGCCCAAAGAGGCAGCAATGCACAGTCCACTCCTTCACCTGCATGCCTCTCACCTGCCCAGCTAAAAGGGGGGGGGGGTTAACACCTACAAGGAGGGCTTGCTTTGTGGTGCCACTATTTTGCAAGCGGGTATTTCTTTCGGTCTTTGTCACAGCCTTATGAGCTGGCCTTCCTCTCTTCCTTTTTGTAGTTGACATGACTTGCCTTGGGCTGTGTGGGAGTCAGTGGCGGGGCCAGGACTGAAACCTGGAGGACTGGCTGTCCCCAAAGCCCATGCTCTGCCCAGCACCATGTCAGCTGGGGTCCTGCAGAGACTGCACCATCCCTGCTCCCAGACGGCAGGCACAATACCAGGCTGAGATCAGACTTGTGCTCCTCAGGTGCCTGGTTTGGCCTTGAGCCAACTCACGTTTAGCTAACTGGACACCAAGACACAGAGGCCACATTTCTGCTGGGCACTGTGCCCCACGGAGACACCCAACTCACAGGTGGGAACTTGCAGGCCACTGCCCCTCCTGCCCCGCAACGCACTGTGCTCCTGGCAGCCGGCCTATGCCCCTGAACTGGGGTGGAGAGAGTGGCCTCAAGTGGCTTGTCTCAGTCACAGCAGAGCCCTAAGAGGGCTCAGATATCCCCCAAGCATTTCTTCCCCAACAAGACTCCTAAGCAGCCCCTCAGACAGATTTTTAGCCTAAGTGGAGTCCACTCCTGCCTCACATTTTACAAAGTGTCCCCTGTCTGTCTCTGTCACACACACATGCACACACCATCCATCCTTACAACAGCCCTGTGAGAGCCCCATGGAGTGTACAAGGCAAAGATGAAGGTATCAATGCCTCCATCTGACACGTGGGGAAGATGAGGCTCAGAGCCGGAGGGTAGCTGTCCTAGGACTTCCTGTGCACAGAAGGCCCTGTTGAGACCTAAAACTAGGGACACCAAGTCCTGATCCCTCAGCCCCCTAAACACACAATCCACTGAACACACACAGTCCACTAAGCACACACACTCCACCCTTTTCTCTTACAATGAGTTGCTCCCTACAGTAACATCTTTTCATTCAACCCATAATTACTTGCCCAAGCCAAATGGAAACTTCAAAACCATCTCTAGCAGTTTTTCCTAAGTTCATATAGCATAAAGACAGTGATAAGTAACCATACATCTTGTTTTGTCCAGGGCAGTATAGGTTTGTGCCTATCTCAGGACTCATCTGACTTGGCATTTGTCCTAGACAAAGTAGCCATGGTCACCCTAGCTATCCCCAAGGGCTTATGTTCCCTGGTCCACCTCTCATTCCCCAGGGCCCTCTGGGGAAGGGTCTGGGTGTAGTGCCAGCTCCATCCCAAACACCTCACAGAGGGAGGCAGGGCAGGGCAGGGCAGCCCCTTGGAGGAGATGGAAGGCACCCTCCCCGTCTCCCCCTCAAGCTGGCCAGCTCCTACTCACTGCCTGGGAGAACTTCCAGTCACATTAGAAACCCATCTGAGCCAGTTTCTCTCTTTTTGGTTTTGGATAAAGGTGCAGAGGGAAAGGGAGAACCTGTTGATAATAAAAATACTGACCTCACGGCGTTTCTCTCGAGGAGGCCTTCAGACATGCTTGCTCATGGCAGCATGTAAGTTACCCCCAGCTGGGTGCCTGGGCCAGTCTAGGACCCACGTGAAACCCCCTGTGTTTGTGAACAATTCTGAGAAGAGGTTGCCTTGCTCAGCATGGGGAGACTTTGGGGAAATGCAGAGAATCTACAGATCAATTTGCTTTGGGGTTGAGGAGGCAAATTTTACTCCTGTGGCAAGATTCCAGTAGAGTTCAGAACAGAGTTCAGGACAAATCTAAGGCTGATTCCCAGCAGTGGGAACTTGCCCCCAGGTGGCGCGGTCCTTCCCACCAGAGCCGGCTGATTGGGGAGAGGAGTGGGATAGGATGGATTAGGATGCATATTGTCCGTGTTCTGAGGCCCAGAGAGCTGCCCCTTTGTCCCAGGCCACACTGTAAGCATTCACATCGTTTGCCTCCACAGCCCTCCTCTCCTTCCCTGGGTGCAAGAGAAACCCCAGTCCCTGGTCCTGGAGCCTGCTCTGGAGGGGTAGTTAGGGGAATGAGGAGAACGAAGAGGTAGGTAGATAGGGCTGCATTTCCAGCAACCCAGGTGACCGTGAGTGGGGTCTGTGCCCAGGACAGCGAGATCCCTGCCCCTGGTCCCCAGTGCCACGCAGAATCCATCCACAAAAGACAATCTAGTCACCAATAGTGACTCCTAGCACCCAGGACACATCCAGGCCTGGTGCTTAGCACAGCCTCTTTGGGATTTCCACAGAAAGGTGTGTGTGGTCTTTTGGGTGCCTTTAGGGACATGGACCCTTGGGACCCAGAGCCAGCCCTGAGCACAGAGCTCCTGTTCCCCGGAGCACAGGGCCAGCACTGCAGGCACCTGGGCTTGGATGGCACTGCACCCAGACCACTCCCAGGGTCCTCTCCTTCTATCCTTTCCCTACCACACCTTCTTCCCTGCCCCTGCTGAGGGTCCCAAGAGTGAAGGGGAATAAGGCAGACACTGTTTCCCATGGCAGTCTCAGGAGACCCCTGTGAGGGGGTAGCTAAGGGCTCTGGGGCCTGGAAGGGTTTAGTGCCAGCTAGCCCTGCCACTTACAAGCCCTGTAACCTAGGGTGACTAACTACCTCTCTGAGTCTTGGCTCCTCATCTTTAGAGTGGGGACAATTACCTCTACCTTAGAGGGCTGCTTTAAGGGTCACACATGATCATTTACACAAGTATCAGAGAGTCAGCAGCAGTGGGGGTATTAAATCCTGACCCAGCCTCAGGGCTGTGTGTTATGGGGGCTGAACTGTCCCTTAGCCACAGGGTCCCCGCTGGTCAGCTAGCAAGGTCCTCAACCAGCAGAAGGGCAGGAGGG